AGAAAAACTATATATACACGCGTATGTGTGAATACATACATACATATACATACATATACACATACATTCAGATGTGGACTATGCATATATGCAGTAAGGCGATAAACAAAAAACAAGCAGTTATCTCTATAGATGAAGGTCCAGATTGCTACAAATGTTTTATTTCTTAGATTAAGTACACAGTAATTCTTTTTCAGTTATTATTTAAACTGAGCCCATACATTTTATATTTTTATGAATATTTTCTATTTCAGTAAAATTATATAATCTGTATTTATAAGAGAATTAAAAATGAATCTACAGTCTATGGCCATGTTACCCTGAATAAGCCTGATCCTGTCTGATCTCGGAAGCTAAGCAGGGTCAGGCCTGGTTAGTACTTGGATGGGGCACCACCTAGGAAGACCAGGTGCTGTAGGCATAAAAAATTTAAAAAATAAGGGATTGTAAACTGACAAGGTCCTTGCAATCTGTGAGGTCAACCAATGGCTGCCTCGTCATAAAACAAAACAAAACAAAACAAAACATGCGTCTATAGTAACTGAGCTAAAGGATAGCTATTGAAGCTTTAAGAGCTTTTCCACTATTGTGCTCCTTGCACGCAACCTGCTACAAAGTAAAACTGGCTCCAAGCCCGACAGTGGACTCATCCTTGGGCACCTATACTAGTGGTCATGGTTGCTACAGTTTTATTTCCAGGTACCCCCTCCTCTTACTCTGCTTTACTGAGTTACAATTGCAAAAAAAAAAGAAAAAAGAAAAAGAAAAAAAGCTGCCATATCACTTGAGAGCCGTTATTGCCAAGAGGTCTAGGAAGTAGGACATGAGAGGGATGCTGCTTCAGATACCAGGGAGAATCAAACAGATTGTTGGCACTTCCTTTCAAGAGAGTCAACTGTTTTGCAAGTGAACAGATGCTCCACCAGGGCACTGGAGCAGAGGAATTCTGGGAGGCCCATGAAATAAGCAGGCTAAGATGACAAAACAGAATCCGAGAGCTGGGAGCCAGCTAAGCAGCCTGGGCCCAGGAGGTGGCTCCAGGAGCAATTTAAATGATGAAGTGATAGGCACTAATGCAGGGGGAACTCGTAGGACAAGGCGATCCATCAGTGCCAAGCTTATCTTCTGACAAGGAGTAGGACTCCAGCTTCCAGATGTGACATTAAAATGTGATGTCTCCCTTGGGATTGAGCATGGCAGTTTTCCCTGAAGCTTTGGGTTTACTCAGTTAACTAATTATGAGAGAATGTGACATTGGTATTTATTTTTTTTCTACAGGAACAAATCCTTCACTGTGGGGAGAGAGAAGTTGTTTCTGTTCTGTCTCGTTTTATCATTAAAAAGAAATGACTGACACAGTAGTAAATAAACTCTTGTTGGTGAAAAAAAAAAATTCTTTCTCTATAATTCTATCCATTGACTTTAATGCTAACGATCATTTCTTTTTTCTGCAGAGATGGTGGATAAATGAGCAAGATTTGGGTGTTAGAACTGGATCTGAAAACGAACTCTACCACTTACTAGCTGTCTGATCTTAAGGACGTTATTTAAGCCTGTTTTCCCAACTAGAAAATTGAGGATAATATCTACTCTGCAGTGTTATGTGCAAAAGGTTAAATGAAATCACGGAATTGAAGCACTTTAGCACAGTGTCTTCACATAATAAGCACTCAATAAATGCTACCCTTTTTTCTTAATGGCTCTGATACTCTATTATAGAAATAGAAAACATTTTACATTTCATTTATGCCTCCTATCGTCAATTCTATATGACTGAATATCTGATCATGAACTGAAGCTTTATTTTAGCACTATGAGCTAAATTGTGCATTAACCATTTTACTCCTCCTCACCCAGATGGAAAGAAAACTTCCAACGAAAATGTAATACTTCATAATAATGTTGAAGGAAAACAGTTTTCCGTCACGACCACCATCACCTCCACTCCGTGCCCCCACATTCCACCTTTTAACTTTTCAAAGGCGGTATGCGGTTCTGAGCAGACATCACCAGTAAACTCACTCTTCCTCATCCACTGCTGGGACCACAATAGCATTACCTTTGGGGCGCTTTTAACAAATTGGAAAGTGACTTCATGGCTGATCTTCCATTCGAACTCACGACAATCCCATGAGGTGGGCAGGGTATGAATGACTAGCCCCACTTTACAGATAAGCAACTGAAACTAAGAGAGGGTAAATGACAAAGGCACGATACCCAAGCATATTTAATACGAAAGGGTAATCTGTGATAACTGAGAATGCTGGGGTTATTGGACTTGTGAAAATTAGATTTCCTCAAGGATGAAGTCTGTTTTGGAGATGGCCAAAGTGACCAATTATTCAAGAAGTACCATGATGGGTGGAAAGCAAACAAAATAGAAAGTCCAGAGGCATAGGGCTTTATATTTCATTTGTACAATTCATTGGCCCAGCGTGAGACTCAATTTTTCTACTCATAAGTGTGAGAAAGCAAACATGACACTTCTTACCTCTCTTACAAGTATTTTGCAATGCCATTATTATGCGCAATGTAAGCTTAATGATGTGATATTCAAGAGATTTTACACTAACCACAGCAAATATGGACACTTACAAATGCATAAACATAAGAAAAGATATTTTAAGTTCTAGTAGAAAATCTTGGCAATAAAGAAAAAGACTAAGAATATTTTTCAGGGACGCACAGTCTAGATGATGATGAAAAATTAAATAAGATTAGATAAATCACCATCATAATTTTTACATATTTACGTATTTGAATTATTTTTGGAAGTTGTAGAATCAAACTAAAAGGGATAAACATGTAATAAATTTTTGAAGCCACGAAAATATGAAAACCCTCTAATTTGGATAATGTTTCTTTAACAAATCACATATACCAGTTCTTAAAATAATGAATTCTGAAGTGCTGTGAATACTGAGCAAGTCTATCTGGTGGTGGTCACCTTTTGGGACTTCCAAGGTCACTGACATGTGATAGCTCATAACTTCTTAAGAAGTTCTAGAGGACCACAGAAGTGTAATTCAGGAGTCCCGCCCTCTCTCTTTTTTTTAGAATGGGGGATAAGTTCTTATTGATTAGGAGACAGAAGCAAACAAAGGGGAACCTTAGTTCAAAATAAAAACCGAACACAAATTTTTAGTTTATCATTTGGATCTAGAAGCCCAAGACCTCTAACTACAGTAAGAAACCTGCCATACCAACACGGATGAGAAAAATAGCATATAATAATAGCTCATCATTAGGCGATTGATTGCCTAATTCTGACTTAACGGGCCTGAAAATTTGCCCTGTGATTCTTCACATCACAAGATACAACTTCATTCCAATGCTGGGAGAGATTTTATGATATAGCAGCAGAACGGGTCTGCCCCAAACTCCCTCTCTCCCAATGCATTCATTTAATAAACATCTCTTGGATGTCTGCTATTTGTTGGGATCTATATCAGACTCACAGGAGACAGATAAATCAAACATCAAATCTATACGTTAAATCTTAGAATAAAGAAAAATAGTCAATGCAACGATTGGTGGGTCGGAAAGCTCACACAGATGATGAGATAGATTAAGAAGGTCTCAAATGGTTGAGCATCAACTGTGTAAATGGCAAAAAGTAAGAGCAGCTTCCTGTCAGAAAGAACAGTAGAGATAAAAGCAGAGAAACTTAATAAACATGATAAGTCCCAGAAATTAGATGCAGTGCTGCACAACAAGAATATAGGGCAGAGTTAGAAGGGAAAAGATGCCGAGAGAAGCAATAAGCAGTAGACAAAGATTCCATCATTTAGGACTTTCTATTCCATGTTAAAATACGACATTGGAAAGCTGAATATAATTATTGGTCTATTGAAGATTTCAGCCCGCAGGCAATGGAAGATTTTCACTACGGAACAATCTGTTTGGTGCTATCTAAGTGTGCAAAGAACTAAAGGAAGGAGATCTAGAGGGAGATGATCTTTTACTGGGAGATGACTACTCAGTAAAAGATAATTTTAAAAGTCCAAGTAAGACATGGAGAGGCCCTACACTGAAGCAACGGAGATGGAAAAGAGAATAGAGATAAAAAAAAAAAAAAAACATAAAAAACAGATTGACCGGGTAGAAACAAGGAGATGAAGAGGAACGCATAAAGCAGCTTTCATGTTTTTCACTTGCCTGGCTGAATACGTAATGGTACCCTTAGCTACATTAGAGGCTGCATGAGGAAGAAGGCCAGTAGTACTCTTAAGAGCCCTACTTTATCTCTCTTTTATAAGATTAGTTGCATTTCACTTTGTATCACAGTAGGTATGTGTCATGCCACCACCCCTTCCCCACTAGATCCATAAAGTTCCTTGAAGGGAACATTCCTGTATCACATACCACAAGAGCACATTTGTATAGCATGATTACATAGCATCACCGACCCATTGTAGATTCTTAATGAACATTTTTGAACACCTGGTTGAATAAGTGAACAATTGCAAAGGGTAGACGTGACAAAACCATAAATTTTATCCTTTGAATGAAATAGTTGTTTCTTAAAATGCAAATAACTCATCTCAGCTGAGAAATAACTCATACCACTTACAAATTTGCTTCATTTCAGACTCCTAACACCCTGGGCAAATCCCAATGTCCAAACTAGAAGGGACTTTTGGGAATATCTACTATAAACCCCCATTTAAAAAAAAAATCTGTGATTTGGAGAAATTATGTGGCTTCCCCAAAGCCACAAAAAGTTTCTGGTGATGGGACAGAAATCAGGTAGAATATATCAAGCTTTAATATTTGTCAACTAAAATGGTTGCTAACATATTTGAAAAAAATTTAAGACATGAAATTTAGGTACGGTGAATTAAGTTTCTAAAAGTGTTTGATATTTCACACGCAGAAAAAATACAAAGCAAACATCTTAAAGACATTTTTCTTAAATAATTCTTCCCTCTGACAGTGAAATGCAAGGAACAGAGCTCAACTTTTAATCCTGAATTAGTATAAGTAAGACAGATTCTTACCGTGATCTTCTGAAGAGACTGGTGACCTAAAATGAGATAATAAGCATGATAAATCTTTTGTAAATGATACTGAAAATTATAAGTACAATGATCAAGAATGATCTCATAGAAATTATACCCCCAAAATTCAGTTAAATAAAACTTCAATAGAGTAGACAGTGCAATTAATGTGTTGGTTGTATGAAACATCCCAATCAATAACTCCCAAAGCTTACCTGGATTGGTTGAGTGGTGGATGTTACTAAAATGTCTACTGCATGGAGTTACAGGTTAAATGCACAAACTTAGTTAAGTCTGGGTTTATCACATGCAAAAAAGAGAACTCATAGAAATGTGACAATAGATAATATCCTGTGATGTCAGTGTCACTAAGTGTCCAAGGCCAGGTCTCCAGAGAAAATGCCAGAGATGTAAATGAGCCCTAGATGTAAAAAAAAAAAAACAAACAAAACAAACAAACAAAAAAAAACCCACTTGGAAAGGAAAAACAAATGAGACAAGCATAAAAGAAATGGCAGGTACCCTTATCATGATCAGTTTTTTGTTTCCACTCTTTGTGGCATTTAATGTTTGAATGAGAATGACATTGACCCTCTATCGTATGTCTCTAACCCTGTGAGAATCAGGATGCCAAAAGAAGACAACCCTTGGGGTCCCACAGAACTTTTATAAATCAATGACTTGCATGTTCTATTTGGGGTTCGGCTCTAATTCTGATAGATACCAATGGAGTGTCACATAACCCCTTGCACAATAAAACTTTTTTCTTTCCACAGCTGACTACTAATTGAATTACTCTGAGCAATACAAATAAAACCTTGTGGATCAAAGACACAATCTTAACTACTAACTTACTCTTGTCTGGGGAGAAAGAGAGACATGCAATACTGGATCCTGAGGTGTTAGAATTTTGAAGGAAAAAGCAAGAAATCAGTTGGGAGGAGTCTCCTCTAAACAATCAGCTTCCTGGTGCCCACAGCAGGGGGATGACTAAAGGCAAACGCATGAGTTTGCTAATAAAGCTATCTGTTAATATAACTAATATGTATGAGATGTGATGGCAAACTTGTGGGAAAGAATGAATCTGTGGATGCACGATGGTTAAAGTAAAATTTTAGCTACTTTGGGATACTCGATACTGCTTTACCTTCTCTACTGATCGGTAATATTTTGGTCCCTTATGGGAGAGAACAGTAAAGCATAAAGACATAGTAGTGGTATCAGCGGCCGTGTCTAATCGTTTTAACCTTGCAGGTCTCTTCAAGTAAACTGTTGCATGTGAAAATGCCAGAAGGTCCCAAGATTCAGTGCAGAGAAATTGGCATTTGGGAGATGGACACGGGGAACAGAGAGAGGACACCTAACGCCCTCCTCAGTTATCACTGCAGAGTAAGCTGTTTGAAAAACACCACTCGGTCTCCCTGGATGGACCTGACCTGTCTTCTCCGTGGAGTCCCTCTGTTTGACACCAGGCACACACTGGTCTTCCCCACCAGCTTCTGAGTTCCTTGAAAACTAGGACCATGTCTTATTTAAAACATCCTGGGCTCCTGATTAAAATGTGTTGAACTGAATTAATTTTCATACCACCACCCTGGTTCAGATACATTCTGGAGCTCCTCAAAAAGTCATCATGTCACCTTCAAACTACCTTCAAGACAAGTTTGCAGCTCTTAGACCAGCCATCAGGGAAGAGCCTCAAGAAGGACCCTGATGCTCTAGATTGGTGATGATGTGGGCACTCTCCGAGACAAAAGACACCCAGTGATGGAGAAATCCACTATTTGCCTTAACGATTAGGAAAAAGAAGGAGAGGGGGTTGAATAGAGGTGAAATGAGATTGGAAGGTGAGTCTAAAGAAAAACATATATTGAGATAACATGAAAGAATTTCTTAAGCTACCCAGGGCATAACAAAGAGTCAGCAACAAGGAAAAGTCTTCACCCTTGGTGTTTTCTGATGGGAAGTAAGCAAAAATAAGTCTCAGATTGGTTGCAATTAATTTGTCACGGAGCTACGGGAACAAAGAAAAACTCATGCCAATGAACGACTCAATGTCCCAGGTGAAGGGCTGGGGCAGTGGGGTTATTTGCTGCCTTTCTGTAAAAGCCAAGCACTAATATTAAATCTGAAAAATTCCAGATGGCTCTGTTAATGTCCCAAGGGGATGCATCCAGGCAGCGGGGAAGAGCTATCGATTTCAGAGTGTTTTCTGAGGATTAGTCATGTTGAGTTTCTGTGCTGGACGTCTCCCACACGCCTGGATTTGTGGAATTTCAAGACATATGGAGTATTTCAATCCTCACTCAGTATTTCACCTTTCCCTGTAACGAGTTACTAAATTATACAACCAAGACATGTACATCATACATTATGCCTGCAAATGGGCATACAAAGTTTTACAGAACTTAGCTCAGGAGGGGAGAAATATCATGAGATCAGCAATATGAGTAGTTATTTTTAAAACAGCGGGGTTGAGTTCCAGGAACAGATAATCTTCCTCAACCTAGCGACTAAAGAATGCATGAAGGCTCAGGGCTTCTTCTTCTCATGGCACCTGAAAGATTTGTGTTTTGTCTCAGTTAGTTTATTTCTCTTCCAAAGACACTTTGTCCTGGAGATAGCATCTGCCTCACAACAAAAACTACAGGATTTAGAGTTTTCCTCATCGTTGTCTTTTATTATGGTCTACAGAATATTTATACTTTTTTTGCATCATTTTATTTGGTTTTAGTTTTGTTGCTGTTGTTTTTTTACATTTTTATTTACGTTTCATTCAAATCCAGCAAAGTAAAACAACAAAAACAAAACTTAAGTCTTGCATTTAAAAATCTTTCTCTTATTTTATTAATCCAGACAAATTATTACTCAGGTTTGAATGCTTCAACTTTTATTGATTCAAAACTGAATTAATCATTATTACTTGAGACCCTATTAAGTTCCAGGGCCTGTACCAAGTGACTGAAATACAAAGATGAACAAGATACCAGTTTCAAGAAACTCAATCTAGTGAAGGTGAAAAAATATGTAAAAAAACGATTATGCTTAAGAGAAAAAAAATGTACTGATCAAAACATATATGAAGTAAGGAGGTAGCGCAGAAGAGAGGGAGACCATTTCTGTTGCCAAAGAGTGAAAGAATGCTTTAGAAAGCAAGAACCTTCTGAGCTGGGCTTTGCAAGATAAGTAGAAGCTTCGTAGGTAAGTAAGAAAAAAGAAAAAAATCCAGGTAGAAGCAACAGGCAGATGAAAAAGAGGGCAGATACATAATTGATATGTTATCAGGTACGCAAGTAACTCAGCGTTGCTAAAATGTAAGGAAGTAATCAATATTAGGACTGGACACATAAGAGGTAGGGGCCATTTCACACAGGGCTCAAGAGGCCATTTCAAAGCGCTTGTCATTTACCCTCTAAGCTAAATGGAGCAAAGTTGTGAAGCAGAGCTGTCCCACATTCTCGTTTGCGCTTTTGAACAGGCGGGCTATGGGTGGTCAACTACAAAAAAGCGAGAATAAAGGCAGAGGCACGCTAAAGACTACAACTACTAACTTTCACGTTAATTTCTCATCTCTTCAATATTTTTTTCCCGCAATTCATGGAAAATAACAGGGAGCATGAGAACCAGTAAAGGAAGCATTATCCCCTTTGACTAAACTAGAAGATGCCCATAAACTGGAATGATCATATATGAATAAGAGCTACCAAATACAGTAAAATCGGATCAAATTTCAGGGGGACACAGAGAGCGCGTCTCGATCTCAGTCAACTTAAGAGATTTGAGCTACATCGTGCAGCACAAAATTCATGACAGAAAGCCCTCCCCTCTGAGCCCCGCATCCTGCCCGTCAGGCTGGAACCAAGCCCCATTGAAGTGTTACTGAGAAAGCGTTTGAAGACAACAGACTCAAAGCCAAGCTTTCAGAATCTTCCTAATGATCCACCCCAATCAGTTCCAAAAAACGACTTAGCCCATGCAGATACAAGTCACGAACAAAAAAGGGGACTCAGCATGATTTCGACATAAAAATACCCCAAGAAGGAAGCAGCAGAAGGGTGCACGACGAACAAACATAAGCCGGGGAGGTACTAAAAAGCAGGTAAACACTAACAGATCTCCAAGAAATTTAGAAACGGAAAAAGGGTAGGAAGGGATGAAGGAAGATATAAAGAGATGACGTAATAAGGGATGGAAATAGTCTTCCACAGACAGGAACTCAAAAGAAGAAATACCACGATCACGAAATAGCCATAAAACCATAGCAGAGGGAGAAAGAACACAGGTTCTCTCAGAGTCTTTGAACTAGTAAGTTACAGAGAAAGCTTGAGGGCTTTTCCCACCGTGTCCCCACGGTCTTGGGAAAAGAAGATGAAGAAGAGGTGAATAACCGCTAAAAGATATTAAGAAATGATCCATTTGCTTATCCATCCATCCGAGCTCTGTGGAAGTGTGTTGCGCCTTTTTTCATTTTGATTTATTTTTCTATGAGTTCGATTTGAACACTTGCTAGTAAAAGTCTCCTTTCCAGTGTTAACAACCCCGCTTAGGAGAACATACATATTTTTCTCTCCTTTTCATTCAGGCGACACTTTTCAAACCAGGGTATGCATAGGAATTTGAAAATCAGAGAAGCTCCAGGAAAACAAGACATTATTTTTAGATGGGGAATTATATAATTTAACTGGTAAAATTATAATGTTATTTTTATATTGAAACTGGCACAGCCACATTATGGATCCAAAAGCAAAAGTCACTTGAATTCTTAAAATAAAGCAATAAACTTTAAAAAAAAAATAAAGCTATGTTTGAAGCAGTCAGCTTCAGGCACTGTCTCCAAGGTCCCCAGGAGGGTATTTGTTCTCTTCTGGATTAGAAATATTTCCAAGGAAAAGTCTGAAAATATGAAATGATTGACCTAAATAGAGCTATAACATCTTGGAATGAGTCATTTTATAAATGAATGTATGCTGATATCAAGAGTCTGAGGGAATGAGACATCAAGCATACACTGGCTCGTGGCTACTAT